AAAAAAAAACTTTTATACCACTTGCCAAGTTTCTTCCATCTTCTACAGTCACTCAATAATACATTTGGTAAAGTTTGGTCAATTGATTTTACATACCAAATTGATTTCCTGATCATCTACTACATCTGGAAAAAGAAAACAATCAATCAACCAAGCGAATTTAAGCCGATATGATTACAAAAAAAGGTAGAAACCAATCCACACAAGAGGAACCTACGGTAAGATGGAAATAGTGACAGTAGCAACATGGCATGTCTGCTTGTCATGCCTGTTTGACCAGTACTAGGGATGGTGAAGAGTAAATGTGACACTTACGAGAAGGTGAGTTCTGACTTTTTAAATTGTGATACCAAGACCTCAAATGTTTTAAACACAAGGGCAAGATGTTCAGACTGCAAGACTGAGATGTTCAGACATCAGTGATAAAGACAAACAAACAAATTGGTGAGAGCTTTGTGAAAAAAATCAAGACTGCGAGATGAACATTCACATAGCAGCTGAAAAAGATCAAGACTGCGAGACCCATGAAATTCAACAAAAATTTTTCAGGACCCATGGTTTTTGAAGGACTATTGACCACCCCCAGTTCATGTACTCAAGATCAATCCATACCTGAATCCTCTATAGCTTTCAATATGGCCTTTTCATACTCAGTGCAATCAGGTGCAGCAAATGTCTGGAGAAGAAAGTAGACAAATATCCCTGTTTGCTTGGAGTGAATTAAATTCTCTTTTAACTTTTATGCTCAAGACAGTATTATTTAGGGATACGTTGTGCTTTGCACTTAATCCTGAGAGTGGTATAAAAACAGGATGAGTAGAAAACCAGCACAAATAATAATAATAATAATAATAATAATAATAATAATAATAATGATAATAATAATAATAAAATTTATATAGCGCTAAATACATTGTAAACATCCAACACATCCACCCATTGGTTAGAAAATGTTCTGTTGTGCATACATGTAGTATTAGATGCAATGATTAGTTACATGACTGTATGCTGGGTCATACAAACAGAACAAAGCAACTGGCACTTGTCAAACTCGACGTCACTCTATTTTGGATGGACCACATTCCATGTGCTAAGTGGGAAGCTAACAATTGATTAGAATTGAAATTGAGCTGGAAGCTATAATCGACATGCCATCAAAATATTAAATGCTTGATAATGTGCCATCATGATATGCTTATAATTTATATAATTGACTGTTGGAGAAAAATGAAACATCATCTATTTCACATTGTCACACAACATGGCACAGTGTACGGCATGCATCAATGTTTCCAGGCTCCACTCAGCCTGAATGCCTCGCCTTGTTTACATGTTGCTCAACACTGCCACATGGCATTTGGTAAACCCTACATGTACCTGAAAGTACATGCACAGCCACTAGTAAGTAAAGTACACTGTAACTTACAGTCAAGGGTGACAAGTCACATTGGTAAGGGTTGAAACTAACAGACACTGACATCCAAGCATCTTCACTGTAAAGATCCAAATCACCAAAATGCACATCCTGAATTAAGCAAAATAACCAGACTGAATGAGTAAATACATGTAACTATTAAGTGACATTTTGAGCAAATTCTGTCAGAGAGGGAAAAAAAAGTTCTGCTCAAATGTACAGTTATGATAAAAAGAAAAAATAACAGGCTGATTTTGGGGGGAAGATATATATTTAAGCGTCAAGAACAATAAATCATTTCTAAAACTCACAGCATCCTCCAGAGTTCCATCATCCATATCCTATTTACAAAGAAGATTATAGAAGATTTGTTACAAAATTCAAATGATTATTTTGTTCTGACCTGTGCATTGCATTAATAAACACCAAACACACAGGTTAATTCACTCCTAAGAAAATTAAACATATTATCAAACTTATGTGACCAGAAGATATGTCACATGAAATACTCCAGGAATCGAATTTTTCCGGTTTAGCTGAATTGCCAAATAAGTTTTAATCTGCATTCTTGTAATTTCTTATGTACCGTAACCATCATTCTGTCAAGCAAAATCTTTGAACAGTTTTTGAAACATGTTCCCACAAGCAGCTGTTAACTGTAACTTTACATCAGACATGCATACATGTACATGTACAAGATACATACCTCTTCATCACTAAGGATCTCTTCATAACCATCCTGCAAAAATGTTAAACTTAAAATTAAACAAACTCATTTATTGCACACATTTTTCAACTTGCCCCTTAAACATGCTAACATCTTGAGTACCAAACAACTCAAAAGCCTGCTTATTCTGGTACTAGGGTTGCTGGCTATTGACAAAAATTGCCGTCTACTTCATGATCTCAGTGCGTTAGGCTGCTGGTATATTTGTCTGATTCTTCAAAAGTCGTGGCAAAATCAGCAACCTACTTCAACAATAAAGCTGCCAGCTTCAAACCTATGTAACAGCCCTGTGATACCAACTTACTTCATGAATGAATCTGCTGTGATTCTGCCTTAAGACTCCATTTGTTACATGCATGATTCACAATAAGATAACAAATCAGTGCAAAATGTCTTTGCTTACCCTGGTTCATAATATAACAACTTGATGATAAGATCAGTTGTTTCTTTATGCCATTTCATGCTTAATATATCTTTTCGTTCCTGCTATGTCACTATGATGCATTACCCACACTGGTAATAACAATCACATATCTGTAATAATTATTACGTTTAATGTGGTTTTGCCAATATGTTGCTAAGCCACCAGTGTGAGCTAGTCATAGAAAATATGCAATCCATATTGCAGTCTTCATGAAATCCTCAAAATTCAAAACGTCCACAGGCAGGGGTTTTATCAATGTTTTCAACAGGAGTACAACTGGTTTTCATGGGCAAGCAAAACTTTTTGACCAAAACTTCTTTAGAAGAAAAAACTTTCCTTCAGATGGTGAAACCAGCCAGTCAATTTGGTACTTAAAGTGTGTATGACATGAAAAATAATTTCTGCTTATTTGAAAGCAGGGCTCGAAAAAACCCCCGTCCGGTCATCCGGGACAAGTAGATTTTACCTTCGGGCAAGTAACTTTCTCTCCTTACTTGCCCCATGGGCAAGGACCCAGGCAAGCCGTTCGCCAACTAAATTTTTGATAACGATTTTGAGAAGAAAAGGTAAATTTAGGCTCAAGGTAATCAAGTGTTTAGATGAAGCTTGACGAAAATTACAATTTACAGCGTTGTTCTGTTGATTGTGTGATGCGCACTCACAGCTCAGAAGTGGTTGCATAGCACATGATCAAAATCTGCCCCGATCAAATTTCTTTCCAGGATCAGAAATAGCCGCGTTGGGCACGAAAACGCTGTGTTTATTTCCTAAAATTTTAGCAATTTTCTACGAGCATTTCAGTTTCTCTCAACAACTCAACAACGATATATTAAAGCTGTAGAAATTGCACACGAAAAGAAGCCGCACATTTCTACCGCGAAAACGAAGCCGGCATGTTTGAAATCCAGGTAAATCTGGGTGTCTGGAAAACCCGAATAGCGAATAGTCGCGAATAGCGAACAACGAATAGTCCCGAATAGCGAATAATGAATAGTACGAATAGTCTCGAATAGTGCGAATAGTGGTGCACAGTCTCGAATAGTGGCGAATAGTGGCAAATAGTGGCAAATTAGTGGCAAATCATAGGGTACCCAGTATCTCGCAGTCAACCTCACAGCAACGTAGGACGGGATTTTCCCGCTAAAAAGCACAGACGCTTATCGGGACAAAAGGTGTTTCTAAACGTAATTCCTTCTGTTTTAACCGCTCCAAAAGCATAAATACGTCTTTATAAGGTTGTCCTTGTGTTTTCTGTTTTCTTAATGTTGGCGATGGACAACCCGAGCCTGAGTCCGGTAGCCTACGTGTAGCCGCACCCACCCCCCAAGGAAAAATGTTTCTCCTCAGGCGGCGGGTACGGCTACACGTACGCTAGAGTCTGGAGAAGAAAAGGCAATAAATTCACTGAAATTCTGTTGCTTAACTGGATAATTAATTAACGCAGGATATTAGACCTAAAGCGGTGACTATTGACGACTATTTGTCACTGTTTGCCACTTTTCGCGACTGTTCGCCACTATTCGCATTATTTGAGACTATTCGCACTATTTGGGACTATTCGCCATTTGCTATTCGCGACTATTTGCTATTCACTATTCGGGTTTTCCGGACACCCGATAAATTTCTGTTTTCGGTGAAACATGTAAGTTTGCTAGTGATAACATACTTGGGCGCCACCGCGCAAAATGAAAAGTATTATATTATTAAAAGAAATGGATAAGTAAGTCATCAAAATACTTTCAGAGTTCCTGGGAAATGACTTAAAATAGTGTTTCTTTCAAATGAAGACGTTTTCCCTTTTCATTCACCCAAATGAAAAAATATGCTGTCGCCGGCTTTTCAAATTCGACACTGTGCCTGTGTCAAAACTAAAGTGGGAAGGCGACTTGTTGTTAATTCAGCGTGTTTTAAATTTCTCGCGTTTCTCTTAGCTTCACAATGATTTCGTGGAGCTAGACAAGATGCAGGTGAACATTCAAGGAGTCGAACGCGATCTTCGACGAATTCAACAAATTGATTCAAGGCTATATAATAACGAAGATACCCAGCGTGTAATACAGGAATTAGAATTAAGTACACGAGCAAACAACAACTTAGCAAACTTTGTTTCTTCAACTGGGAGTTTATCCATGTTAATAATTAGAAACCGTACAACTTCATAAAAGCGGAATAAAATACTTAAAAGTTGTGAAAGTATTACAAGATAATGGCGTAAACATGAAAGTGATCAGCACTAAGAGGACTACAGTCAAGATGGGTTTATTACATTAAAACACGTCTGTAGTTTGACATCCATTTATGAGTTCATGAATTATTAATGAGTTTGAAAACTTGGGCAAGCGGGGAAGTGCCCCAGGCAAGCAAAATTTGCCCAATGGGCAAGATGGAATTCAAATATTTTTTGAGCCCTGAAGGGCCTTTCAAAATAGAGAAGAATGGTGTTTTTCTTTTTGAAATTTCTTTTTTCATTTTAGAGATAGATGTTTCTCCATTGTGAAAATTAGATCAGTGATGATGTCGTATTGTTTGCAACAAAAAAGTAGCAAAATACTGAATAAATGATATCTCTGGAAATATTGAAGCAGTGTTCTTAAAACTTGGCACCACAAATGTGAATCACAAAAGAAACAAAATGAAACCCTTGCGATAGGTATTTACAAAATTATCAACAGTAAAAACAGAATTTGGTTATTACTTACTGGCTCGTCAACCTCCTCTTCATCAGACATGAACAAGTTTGATGGAGATCGGTCAGGTGTGAGTGGCTCAAACAATTCATCAGGAGACTGGTTTCCAGATTCTTCACCAGCTGGTTGCTAAGGAAACAATCTTGCATTAATTACTCTCACATAGACAGGGCTCGCAAAAAGTGCTGCCTGATCATTGAGGACAAGTAGATTTTCCTTCTTGGCAAGTAGCTTTTCATTCACACTATGTCCAATGGGTAAGGGATCAGGCAAGTCTTCTGCCATCTAGAGCACTAAAGAGCAAACTAAGACTTGCGCTAGCAGAATTTGAGAGCTTCTTGTCCCAAGGGCAAGCTGGAATTCAAGGTTTTCTTTGAGTCCTGATAAATAACAAAATGCTACAACAATTTTAAGTCAGTTTATTTTTAACACAAATAAAATACTTTCTAATCTCTGGTTAAGAGATCACTAAGTTTATTGAGGAGGTTAAAATGAAAATAATAGGCAGTTAATAAAATTTTCCAGAGCATCTACAAGGTGTAAATGATGTTGGGCATTAAGTATTCACTAAGTACATGTACATAATAAAGACAGTGTTTGGCTCTACTACTGAGCAGAAAAAACATTGATCTACTGCATACCTCCTCCCTTGGGGACCCTGGAGGGGTTGTTGGCTTGGCAGCAGTACTCTCACCAATAGTTGCAGTGACACTTTCAGGAGATCTTGGAGGAGACTTCAGCTTTGATGGTGACTTCACAGGAGTTCTTTCCTTGTCTTTCCCAACTCTCTTCTCTTCTCTTAAAGGCAACGGCTCTTCTCGCCTGTCCCTTGATTCTGAAGATCTCTCGGGAACCCTTTCATCTGTACCCCTCTCAATAGGGCCTGAATCAGAAGTGCTTCTTTCGGCACTCCTCTCTCTTCTCATAGGCCTTTCTGGGCCTCTGTCATGAGTTCTTTCAGCCTGCTCAGGGATTCTTTCATGAGCTGCTTTTTCAGATTCTCTGTCCAGTCTTTCAGGGTCTCTCTCAGGTGCCCTTGTTTCAACAATAACTGGGGGTCTCTCAACTCTTGGTTCAGGGCGAGATTCTTGAGGACGCTGATTAACATCAGTAAAATAACCATACAAGCTGATAGTGATTCTATTGTACCATCCTCGCAGAACAACAACATCTGTCGCACCCTGATCAAGATAATAAACAGAGAAATAAGGATCATTTGTGAGAAGAGAGAAAGCAATACAAGCTAATTTCTTGGGGGTAATTGTGGGTAAAATATTAAACTTATACATATTTTTCATATTAAAGTAGACTCACAGAAGCTCTGCTTTATCAATCATAAAATACATTCTAATTTATAGGAATTTGCAGGTCAGATGTATAAGCATTACCCATATAAAGTTATTCTTGGAAGGTTTAATACATGTACAATGTAGTCAGACATATAATTTGTAATGCCTGAAATAACATTAATTTATTGTATTTATTTTCAACTTGTTCCATAGGGTTGGTTTCCTATTGAAGAGAATGATAATAAATGTACTCTACTTCATAAATAAAGCTCAGGTTTACTGATAAAACCCTACCTTGGAATACGTAACCAGTTGGAAGTTATTTGGCTCTTTGTACTCTAGTCTAGAAGAGAAAAATTCAACAATTAAAGGACTCTTGTTTAAATAGGTTCTTGAAACCTCTCTACAATACCCTAAATGTACTGTCATGAACTTGGGAGAGGTGCCTAAGGGATGGTGGTGCCAGGCAAGAGACATGTTGCACAAGCATTGAGCAGAGCATGCAGGTACACTGTATATCCAAGTCAACCTTAACAGTGGTAACCATCAGGCACCATCACTGCCAGTCACAGTAATAAAACAGTCATGTGGTGATACCAACCCAAACGCATGTACCTACATGTACTACTACTAACAAGGGAGATGTACATGTACTGAAGCAAAAAGCACTCCACAAGCAGATTCAAAGCTTGACAGAACTGCACATTCTCAAAAAAAAATGTAACACAAAAGTTTCATATGCCACCCCAAAAAGCATGACCAAACAAAATGTTTTTGACCAGCAACAGTACTGGTACCTATCAACCTTATCCTAAATTTCACTTCAAAGGCACATATCAAATTAAAGCTGCTTTCTTCCTCTTATGTGATTATATGCATAATTATTTCATCCTTGACATGCCATTTTTAACAAAGGACAATGTAACTTACTGTCCAAGTCTTTCAAACACTACATCTGAAGGTCTGTCAAGATTTCGAATAAATAAGTCCAGTTTAAAAGAAGGTGGATGAGTCTCCCTATGAGAAAAAAAAATACAGATATCAAATAAATTAGTAAACTGCATGATTTGACCAGTAACCGCAAACCTGAAAAATGAAATTGAAGCACTGGACAAAGTATTCTCCCCTTTATGTGAGTTAAACAAACCTGAATAGGCAGTGACAGCAGTTGCCTACCATCACTACCCTGCCATCTACTCTAAAATCTACCAAGACGTTCAACCTTAAATAGCAAGTTTATCTCATGTTTTTGGAATTCTATTGAGGTTTGCAAGACACTGTACTCTCACAGTGCCTCTCTCCACCCAGGTGGCACATGGATATGAACAACCTTTAACAGCTGGAGGTAAGCTTGCATGATGAAATACCGGTAGTAGTATCCTATCCAGGGGTGAGAGGGAGGGGGGTGGACAAATATTCCTAGCCACATCATACTTCGAAAATTGGAGACTAAAGCACCAGCCTAGTGGCCGCTTGGCTTGGCTTGTCTTGTTAATCAGACTATTAACAAAAAGAAAAATGGTACAAATTTCCCTGCCCAGAGAAGGAACTTAACTATATCAAGTTATCTTGGTCTAACATACCCCATTTTCTCTCTTTCACTGACTGCAGCGTGTACTCTGTGTCCTGCTGGTATCACCCTTACTTCTTGAACACAGACTGGTCTCGGAAAGCTCACCAAGTCAAGATGCATTTCCTAAAGTTATAGATACCATAGTTTAATTTCTATCTTTGTCTGTCCAGATTTATTTAACTTATAACTATACCAGTCTTCACTTTTCCTTCAACGCGCTCAGGCTTCGCACATGAAGAACAGGACAACCGCATGTGGTCGAGTGCTTAGCACCGTATGCACTGTATAAAAAAGGGACTGTATATAATTTTATATACTTATTTTATTATTCCATATCCATCTTATTTTATTTATTCATTTCTTCGAAGATATTAGCAATTTTGCTATTATAAATTCGAGGTGAAATAAATGGTATTGTATATTGTATATTGTAGGTCGAGAGAGCGGCGCCTAAATTTATGGTTGTATCTGCGAACATACACGACGAATGTGAACTGTCCCGACTAAGATTTTGCAAGTTATGGATGTAACTGAAAGGACCTCGGAGATAGGCATAAATGTTTTAACACTTACCTCATTTTCTGGATGGCTAAATGTGTCACAAAATAACAAAACGGGCTCCACGCTATCAGGTGAAATCCCCGCCATCTTGCTTGTTCATACCACAGTTCTTTGCGACCCACTATACACTTCATGTATTACGTAACCGAAAATTCTCAAGCTCCCGTCAGCGCTCGGAGCGCGGTGTGGCGTTCAATGGGTATGGTAATCAGGTTCAACCCCATTTAATTTCGATGTTACATCATTTTATGCTCATTTCTTGGTGGATCAATAGTTTTTCCATGATGGACTGAAAATTGCTCTTGATTGGAAAACAATTCCTGTCTGTCATAAATATCCAGGCATAATAACACTGATAAGGCATTATAGTAAACTGGAGTCTGGAGTGAAGAGGATACGTCATGGTTACCCAGCCCTGAGCCCAATACGCACATTTTCATCTAATAACGATGGGAGAGATGTTAGAGTAGCTCTCATTCTCGTCCCCAGAAGCCGCGCTCCTTTTGGTCAGCACCAAGAATTCTTGGTGCTGGCCAAAAGGATCGTGGCCTCTGGGGACGAGAAGGAGTAGCTCTTAGAAGTACTGTGCAAGATCAGGGAGGAGCATGGGCTCCTTTTTCGAACAGCAGCTGGTAATCGAGCCTAAATTCAACCACATCCCCACCCCTCCCAAGATGGATCACGTGCCTGTATTGGACTG